AAGTCCTATTGCATTCCATAAATGTTTGTAATCATAATAAATTAATTGTAATATAAAAAGTGCAATAACTACAGTGTTTAAACAAAATTTATTTAAGTATATGTATAATAAATAACAATGGAATAATTAATAAAGTATGTCTATTTTCATAAGCAGAATAATACATCTTTCTAATGATTTATAATTATAGTGCTTATAAAAATATGTTAAAAATTGTCCTCTTTCCTCACTCTCATTTATGCAAGAAGTCTCTACTAAAAAATGAATATTATGGAATAAAGCTGGAATGTGTGTATTCGTATCGGTAATTCTATGTTATAAACCAATTTTACAATGCATATAAACAATTTCAATTATCCTTTACATAGATTGCATGAAAATTCGAGACGGTTGTAATTATGTAGATAAAGATGAGAGAATCTATTATACTCTGATAACAGACCTTCTCAATTCAAACATAAAACTATGTTACAATATGATAGAGTAGCAATTATTCTGCGATGTTTATTTATGATTTTTTATCTTCACTCACTAGAGACGACAGTTTCTCTTCGTACTTCTCTGCAAATGCAGGGTCTGTATTTTTAATTGATGAAAGTAAAGAATCCTTTTCTTGTTGAGACCAGTTATTGCTCCATTCTCGAAACAGTTTCACTCTACATTGAAATATACTCGGAGGTCTGTCGGATCCTTCAGCACATCCTAGAGTTTCCATTCTGGGGACTAATCCATTCACAAGACCAGCAGGCCCGCACTGTTCCAGAAGTATACTTAAAAAATCACTTCTTTGCATTTCTGACCATTCTTGAAACCATTCTATTACATAGCGCAACTGAGCCTCATTTGATAGCAGAGCAGACATACTTTATCTTTTAAAAAAAGAAAGAACAGTAGTCAATTATTTAGTATAATGCATAAATAATTAATTAGTAATTAATTAACTATGAAATATTATATTTAGCACAAAATTGACGATTAGCAGAAATTTTATAAGATAAAAATTAACAAATCAAAACAAACAAGAAAAAATAAATAGTGAAGTATTATTAGAAACTCATAGACATGAAACAATTTTTCAATAATTCATAATTGTGACATATTAAACTACATGAAACAGAAAATTTTTCACTTCGTCAAAATTATGCTGTAAAAGAAACGATTGTTTACCGGTCACGTTTTCCTTTACCGGTGATGTAACTTTCGTTCTCTTATAATCGATTTATCGCTTTCCAGCATCACAAAACTTGCAGGGCAAGATACTTGTTAACACGGTTGCAACGACAAATCCATCACATCGTATGAAAACGAACTACTGTGTACTATTTTCAAGTGCCATACAAAAAAATCTACAACAACAAATGCAATAAACAATTATGATATACTGTTAATCGATCAATTTGCATTTCTTAGGGTTAACTTCGATCTCCTCTTCAAAATCCGACTCGCTTTCCGATGTTAGCCGATCTAAAATTGATAAAAATTTATTAGTTTTCACGAACAAATCTATTAGACGAGCATATCACTTCTAGATTTATTTACTTTCGGCATTGACGGAACTGTCTTGTTTTTCTATTAAGTTAGTCAAGAAATGATTAATTTTTATCTGAGTTTGTTTAAAACACGAAATTAATACGCTCAAATTATTTTCATTCAGTTCGACGCTGCTATTATCTTCATAAATACACTCATTATTTTCATTAATTTTTACACACACTGTCATATCAGTCATCGTGACTTACTGTTTATTATTTTATATTCATTCAGTTGAAATATTTACACTGATAAGTACATATGCAACTTTTATACAGTAATGGGTCCTACACCTCAAGGCCGCAGCTTGATCCATTAGCGAGGGTCGATGTAAAAATTCTCTTTGCTCTAATTGGCTGATAATTCATCGCTGAGACAGAATCCACTGCGGATTGGATGCGCAGTAAAATGGTGGGGATATGCGCGCCAGCTTAGGGAGTAAGAAAAGTATGCAGGAGTAGGTCTTATTACTGTAATACAGATCATTGGATATACATATCTATGGTATGAAAGCTACGAATGCGGAATGATTTGCTTCGCTTATATTTATGTGCATACATTGTATTGTAACTGATGTAACCTACCTACATACCGTACATGTATGTGCACCACTCTGGGCCATAGCTTCTAAAATNTCTAATTGGCTGATAATTCATCGCTGAGACAGAATCCACTGCGGATTGGATGCGCAGTAAAATGGTGGGGATATGCGCGCCAGCTTAGGGAGTAAGAAAAGCGTGCAAGAGTAGGTCCCATTACTGTATCGCTAAAGGTTTGAACCATGTACATATTTGTAAGGAACATGTGATCTTTTTCATATGTAATATGTGATCATTCAAATAATAACTTTAAACAATAATAATTAAATCCACTATATCGTTAAAGACTTTTTATACAGTAATATTAGAATGATAATATTTCTAATCATTTTAACAGTTGAATTAGATTTTTAAGTTATAAATGTTCGTATATAAAAATATGACGATGCATGCGAACGCTCCATAATAAGTTGTATGATATCTACTGTATGTAATATATAATGTAGCAAAATGATGTGTTCCTGACAAGACATATCGACAATCAAACAGGCCCACATTTCTTCCAGTTTATGTACACTTTCATTTATGTACATATTGAATCGCATGAGAAGGCATGTATGTATCACTTGAAAATGAATTGATGAATATGTAAAAATAAAAATGCTGAAGATTCGTTTTTGATTAAATTCTCTCTGTGTAGCTATATACGTATATATATGTATGTAATTTATGAACATACAGAACAATCCTATATACGCATGCGCACTAGAAATTGGTTCTCGAAACACGCAGTGGTCAACAGTGGTTTCGTATGTACATATTGTAGGTACATCTGGGCTAATCTCCTATGTTTTAAAGGCATCTATCAAGATTAGCAAAATGGTTTTGCTGGAAAATGAAGCGGTAATTTTTGGATTTCGAAACACTATTTATTTGTGCGCGTTATATTAATTTTAATTTTAGTTTCTAGTCGAGCTAACACGACTATTCGATAAATCCCGTTTTTCTGGTTCAGTAGTACTCACTATTAAACGATGTAAGTACGTGTGTTATTACCTTTTCAAACAGCTTTAATATTTCATATTTTCTACAAAATATCACTACTGTCTATCTAGTTAATGGACACAATAAGCCAGTACCCAGGAAAGGAAGGCCGCCTCTACCCACACCAAATGAATTTTTTTGTTTAGTGAGAGCTACTTTAAAAACCAAAAAAATATCTACTGTTGTATGTATCACTTTTTAATGCAATTTTCATAAATATTAGGTTAGACAAAGCAAAAATTACCTATATTGATTTTCAGATTCATTCCAAGGATGTAAATAAGTTTCAACAAGCGTACTGGAATTTATTAAAATCAAAAGTTAATGGTCTCAAGAAGTTAAAAAAAGTGAAATCTGCGAAGCGTAAGATTCATTGACATTATAATACAGACTGTTATAATATATAAATATATACATATATAATAATTAAAATTTTTGTATAACACGATACATGTTTTTCTAATGTATTATATTTATGATACTGCCTACAAAATATATTACATTTTGTGTAAATAGTACCAAACAAATGAATTGATTTATTTTGTATCTAACGTAATTTTGGTTCGTTTTTTTATGAATATGTTATAAAGCAGACATTTGTCAGAATTGTGCTACTTTTGGAACACCTTATAGAAAATACAAACGCGTCGATTTACCAATCATTAATCAATGAAAAACAGAGACAATTATGATTATATTTTTAATTTCTCATTTTATGAATGTTTCGCTAATTACGGAAAAATGTATGACTAATTTAATATTTAATTGCGAAACAGTTCCTATTTAAGCAACTTCAATGATAATTCACTAACAGTTACGTATGTATTCGATGACATTACCGAAGTATCCAAATCCTGTTGGTTAATAAAAATAACAGCAAAAGTTTATTTTAAGAGCATAAGTTAATTTTAAAAACTATACATCCCAATATATGGCACGTGTTTAATGAAAATGAACGGCTATCTACGAGAAAATGTATAATGTAGGTTGGACAAAACAGCAGAAGGCGTGCCCCTTGACGTAGGCCATTTTGTTATGCGTTCAGGCTTACAGGGATTATCCCTCCAGGGGCAATTGGAAGTGATCGAAACAAGTTTCGAATGGTAATGGTAGTATAAAAGTGTCACTGGATTATCGGAAATGGTGATCCTACTTTTGTTCCTTTCGTAAAGTGACAATTTGTTTATTAAAAAAATAGTTATTCAGCTATGAATATAGTTGTTATATATGCATTATAATTGATTTGCATGCCTCGTGATTTCGAACTGTGATTACTCGAGTACGTTTAGCTCTCGAAAAAGTTGGACAATCTCTTGTTGTCCTTAATTGTAAAGAACAAGAGCGATGGAAGAAGTAATGGGTATTTAAATTTCTTCTTCAATTAAAAGTGTTATGTTTTACGTATTAGGTAATGCGTGGCGTATTAAAGTTTGTATAATTTTTGTTATAGAAATTGTGAAAGTCGAAGATATATTACCGATTAAAGATACATCTTCGATGGACAATTTGTTTGGTAAATTTTGCACACTATATATATATATATTACCTGTATGTTCATAATAATAGTTCCAAAATTAATTTTTAGTTATTTACAGTTACAGATAATATAGGAGAGGGTATTGTAATATCAAGTGAAGCAGAACCCAATATGAAAGGTATAAATAAATGAACATTATTTTTTCTTAGTGTTATGTAAAAAGAATGCTTTTATGTTACTTGCTTCTTTTATTTTATTTATCACAGTATTTTTTTTTTTTATTATACTTTTACAGTTATTACTGACGGTGATCAAATTATACAAATTATAACGGATTATGAATGTGTAACATGCCGCAGAGTCTTTAGGTCTCAGGATGTAAGCTTTACATATTTTATTTGATAAAACATAAAAATGTTAATTATTACTCTATCGACAACAGTATAACATAAGCAGCTGTATTTTATAGAATGCTTTTAACAAAGTTTCCAATTAATTTTGTAGATGTTGACAGAACATTTGGATACATGTAGAGAAGAAGATGATTCTATGACTCTTATAGAACTCAGGAATATAGATCAATATGATTCGGAAGACGATAAAGACGACGACAATTCAGAATATGTCGATGATATCAACAACGAAGGTATATTATACAATGTGAACATAATTTGCTTTTTAGTTGCCTCAGTATTCTTGTTTAACATGTAAAATGATTATTGTAGATTCAAATTCTAACAGCCAAAAAAATAATAACCACAGACCAGTAATTATGCCTGTACCTGAAACCCAATGCCATTGTTGTGCTGAAGACTTAAATACTGCTCATACTGGTGGTGAACATAAGTGTTCAGAATGTGATCTCTCGTTCAAAAAGAAATCGTCTCTGGACAGACACATTGTTGTTATTCACTGGCATTACGATAATTGCATTTGTAAAGAGTGTGGACATTCCTTCAATAGTAGGAAAGCCTTGAATAAACATCGTTACACTACTCATGGAGATCATAAAATTTTTAGGTAAGTATACTTGCATTAGAAACTAAAACACAGGATACGCTTATATTAAATATATGTATTACTTGAAACTAACAAAGTAACAAATAATTATATGGAATTATTAATTCAACTCTAGATGCGAACCTTGTGATACTTATTTTTCACGAAGCTATCATTTAAATCGGCACTTAATGCAATCTGGTTGTCATGGTAACATTCTTAACACGTTTAATTGTCAAGTGAGTATTTTTATTTATTATCCGAAATCTTGGCTAGGAAAGGTATTTGATTTGTATAATTAATAATTATATATACCTGAATAGGTCTGCCAAAAAGGTTTTACACGTAAGGATAATTTACGCGAACATTTACGTACACACGCCGGAGAACTTCAGAGGCCGAAAAAGTCATGTAAATATTGTCCTAAGGAATTTCATACTACTCAACAATTAGTAATTCATGAACGTGTACACACAGGAGAACGACCAGTTCAATGCGACTTATGCCCAAAGACGTTTTTGTCAACACTTGCATTAAGAAAGCATAGACGTGTGCATACAGGAGAAAAACCATTCGAATGTCACTATGTAAGTATTATCTTCGTAAATGAAAACTAACTTTTATGGATAACAATTTATTTCTCCTATAAAAAATGCGATATTAGTTCTTAATCCTTTAAGTAATAATTTTCTTGCGTAATTTGATTGCAAGCGAACGTTGTGGGCAGGGAATATTGTGTAAGTTTTAGTAGTTCCACAATATTGAATATTTTTAATTCTGTAGTTACAATTCTATTCTATACAATATAAATATTTCCATGTTCCTAAATAATTCCACTATTTCTGCCTATTATAGCGTGTTTTTTGAATTATTTTAGTGCCAGAAGAAGTTCGCTGCTCGCGAGACCTTAAATCGACACGAGAGAACCCACACTGGCGAGAAACCACATGTTTGTCAGTATTGCAATAAATCATTCATTCAAGCTGCTCAGTTGAGGGCACACGTGTTTCACCATACTGGTGAAAATGGTTTTTATTGTGATGTATGTGGGAAAGCTTTCAATCGAAAGGCTCGTTTGAATGTTCATAAAAAATTTGTTCACGAAGGAGCAACACCATTCACGTGTGAAGTTTGTGAGAAAAGATTTATAAGGAGAGAAGATCTTGTTAAACACTCATTGCTTCATACTGGCATTAAACGTAAGCTGCAGTATCTCAAACTTCGATATTATAATTTTACAGTATTGTGGAAAATAATTTAACGATTTATTCAATGCAGCATTCAAATGTGATAAATGCGAGAAAGCATTTTCCACCAAATCCTCCTTACAAGCTCACTCAAATACTCATAGAAGGGAACCACCTCAATCTTGTCTTGAATGCAATAGAGTGTTCATTCGGCAAGACTGTTTGATGAGGCACATAAAGTCTAAGCATCGTGAATTATTGGAGGACGTGATGAACGAAGTGGAAAAGAAACATTTACAAACACAGTTATATAATATTGCTACACTTGCTGCCGAAAAGACAAAAAATGGAGAATCTAGAGAACTTTCAACTGATGAACTATTAACAGCTATATCGGATTTGTTAAAGATACTAATTGATGATGAAACTCTACAGGTACATATATTATGATTAAAAAATCACTTTTAATCATAATAGAATATATAATAATATTTCATTCATTTTAATGCTTCAGCTGTTTGGTTGGCCTGAAGCTCCTATTCAAGATATCCTAGAAGCCGTGATTAGAAGGTGTGGACATTCACCGGTAACATCGGATACTAATTTTTATTTTACCGAGCGGTTGAGAGAAAATGTGAAACTTTTATTTAGTGTTGTTATAGAGGATGATCCAGTGAAATCCCTTTTAACAACGAAAACCGTAGATGATGTCATTTTACACGTTTTACAACTTTCAAAACAATACACATCAAGTTCGTAATTTTATTAAAAAAAGGTGAAAGTTTACTTTTATCTTTTCTTATTATTATTATGAAGAAAATTCAATTGTCTTTTAACAAAATGTTCCAACGAGTGTGAAAGAAAAATGATACCAATAGAACTTGAAAGTACATAGTATAATTTACTCCATATTATTGTTACGGTGTATTATATAATGTTATTGATTATTAAAAGATTGCAAATATTTAGGATATTTACTTGATGTATTTTTTATACGAGTATATTTACTTTTCTGGTTTTATTCAGACTATTTTGGATCGTTATCTTGAAGTATGTCTCATGTCATAGTTACATTTGCTAAGGCATTTTATATAAGAGTAATCTATTTTCACACCTATTTGAATGATATACAAGTGAAATTTTAATCTTTATTTGTATTTAATTATTCCACAGTTTTCACTGTTAATAAACATGTTTAAAACTTTGTAATCATGAAATGCCTCTATAATCATTCACATAATAGGAAATTTTCTGCAGTGTCGATAATGCTAAACCACAGTCAGAAAATTGCATTGCATTATACGTCTGTATGAATTGTAAGTATGGACAAGATATCTGTTGTAGACGAATAAAAGTGTAATATAAGATCATGGGTTGGATTTTGGACATGGTATATACATATAGTCCCTTCCGATCCCTTACAAAATACAATACATCATATTTGATTTAGAAACAATTCGTTTTATTGAAAACAATGACAATTTTGGCTAAAATTCGATCTTTTGTTCACTCGTGAGGTAGTGATATGACTTAGTGCATTTTATGCATATGAAATTGAGTCTTATGACTCGTACAACTCTTATACTTCTAATAGTTTTTTAAATATAAAAAAATTTAATTATACAAAAATCATTTTAGAATGTTATGTAATAATTTTTAATGGTGCCTCACAGATTCACCATTTAAGTACAAAGTGTTAACATTTAATATCTTTTCGCGCGTTGCCTAATCTTTAAAAATTCGAAAGTTTTATTATAATTTCTGTTAGTACTGGATAATGTTTTTACTATGAGAATTAAAATTAAACAAATTTGAGGTTGGTTTAACGTTCCATAATATTTACATCCATCACAAAAAGAGACCTAAAGAACTAGGTAATCTATGCAATTATAAAATGCTGTAATAGTAAAGAGAAGTTTAATAACATTTTGTACACATATTGGTAACTTCGCCGTACTATTTGTAGTCATATAAATAATAAGATGTTACATTAATCTTGATCCTCTGTTGGTTGCTCTCTCTTCTTTTTCCATCTCAGAACTCTTGCTTCTGGATATTTTTCTGTAAGGAAGCTGCAAATATCTCCATATTCAGCCTTTAATCTAATTCTTACATTCTCATGATCTCTTCTTCGTTCCATCTTGCGTAAGTGATTTTCGTAAGAAGGTAATTTTGTGTAAAACGGTGGAGGGCGTTTCTTTTTCAGGACCATTTTCCCACCCATTATGTATGAATTAAACTTTATGACTTCATGCGACCGAATCTCTGATCTTGTATTTTCTGGTGAAGCAATTACTTTAGGAAAATAATCACTTTCTTTTTTAAATTCAACTAAATGCAATTGCTTTTCATCTGCCAATTGTTGATATGTTTTCTGAAAGTGTATTTAATTACTTTTATTTATTTAATTTGTTAATGATAATAGTAGTATGAGACAATACCTGTTTTAACAAGCCAATAAAAAAAGCTTTTATTATATATTGAGGATTTAAAGATCCTTCAATATTAGCATGTATATTTTTTATACCCACTGCCTCGCAGATCACTCTAATGATTCTGTGAGCCTTAATTCCATAACCTTCAGGCATTTGTCTAACAAATATTTTTGTCCTGTGAAATTGTGTATAGAAATCATAAAGTACTGAAACAGAAATAATTTTAATGTTGTCAGCCGTTAGAATTGATGTCAGTTGTAAGAAAATATTATTCACCTGTATGATTATTGTATCTTTCAAAGTAGGTTAGTCTTTGTCCAGCTCTATTTTTAGCTCGTTTAATAGTTGCTTTAGCATCAGCTCCTGTTATTGATGAAAAACCAACAAGTCCATTCCCATTTCCAGTTACAATTGAAATCCGGTACCGTTTTGTACGACCAAAATGACTAGTCATGATGTTCACTATTTTACATAACATTATCCAACTTTCAAAACCTTCAAAAGATTCTGAAATAATAAAAAATATAATATCAGCAAATTGTGTGTGTGTGTGTGTGTGTGTGTGTGTGTGTGTGTGTGTGTGTGTGTGTGTGTTGAAATATTGTAACCACAAAGTTATTAATTATAACCACAAACCATTATCAATAGGATCTGGTGGTCCCATCTTTCTGCCCGCTATACTGGCACTAGTCCAACCACGCTTCAAAGCATGAACTTTATGTCGTTTAAAATTACTGTATTGATTTTGTAATGTAATTAATGCCTTTTCCCTCTCAGGATCATCAGGAAGTGGTTCCCGTGTAACATATGAGGTACCTCTAGAAAGTGGAGAATTTAGACCTGGGAACACCATTCCAATCTTTCCAACTCCTATTTTTTGACCTCTGTTCAAGTTTTTTATCCTTGGTAAACCTTTTCCTCTGCCCCGTCGTCTTCCTGCATTACTAACGCTGGTAACAGCCTTCCATAATAATGATACTGGTTCTAAATTAAACAAACATCATTATGTTAATGAGAATTCCACTTTGATTTCGTTAACAAGTTCAAGGTAATAATAAGTGTACATACTTTTATTAAAGAAGTTGGTAATTTCCCTGACATTTTGTATTAAGGGAATATTTGTATTTAACAGACCAAGAGCTGAAGCTGTAAATAATTTAATAATTTATTGAATTTAATAAAACGATTATTAATTACTTTATTAACCTCTTCGTCGACTGGTTATACTTTGTCGAACGAACGTACTTGGCAGATGTTGACAATAATATCAAAGAGACTAAAAAGTGTCGATATAATTATAAAGTTATCTTGTGAACGTTTTACCATTGCTTTTAATGTTGTTAATTTTTACGGCATTTGAGATTAATCCATGAATTCGAAGAATCCGATTTGCCATTTTGAAAAATCGTAATAGAAAATATAATTAATGTTAATTGATGTGTTCTTCCTGTATGTATTATATAATTCTATGATTTTATGCGATTCTATACATCATCGTGGTTATCCACTGCATGGATCTGTTTAGTGATGGACGATGTTGTATCGATTCTTAGATAGTCGATGCTTTATTTCGTGAACATCGATAATTCCACTCGATGTTTTAAGATATCGATTAATCAAGGAATCGATGTTTTCTTAACTCCATGTTGGGATCATTAACACATACTTCTCACTAGAGATGAGCACGGTCAGTCATTAACCGTGATTTATCACTGTTCAACACAGGATAGGATTACGTCGTGATTCAACTTCATTCACGATTAGACCTCCCCAGCATTCTGACCGTTCGGAATCTGCTCTAAGTGGCGGCGAGGAGACCCCACAAATGCGATTGGACGATTCCAATAGATTGCCAATGGAAATTCGTTGGCATCATCTAATCCCATTTGTGATGGGTAATTCTCCCACTCCTGCTTTCCTGGAAGAAAGTCGTGAAGCGGTCAGGATGCTGGGAGGTCTGTTCACGACTGTGATCGTCAGTGATCATGGTTATATAACTGAATTTTGATTGATAAAATATTTGTTTTAAATTGCTTCAATATATAGTTTATATGAAAACCCGCATGTAATAAAATACGTTTAAATTAAAAATGAAAGGTAACCGAATTTTGCTTGGAATTAAATGCACGTCTCACTCACTCATGGTCAGTGTACTGGAAAAGTCACTACGCAAGGAGTGGGGTGATGACGCATGCGCTGGTAGTTCCGCACAGCGGCGCGTCTACCGGGTGAACATTATAATTTTGAACTACGATCGGACAAAGGCATTACGTCGCGTCGCAACAAGGCGTCATCCTAAGTCCGTGTTCCCTACAATCAAAAGCTCGGCTGCCTCCGATCAGGGTTCTTGAATATAGGGACTATCGTAGTTGGTAATATAAACTTTATCTGCTTGCTCACACATACACACACACTCGCTATTTCTTCTCTTTGTCATTGACTATGAGGGCAGCACTGTTCCTTCCCTATGCAGAAGCACAGTGAAGCACACGGCTGCTCCCGGTCAAGCACGGTCAAGGTGTTTGTGTGTGTTGGGATTAATGTATATACATATACGATTTCCTTCCGAAAAGCAGACTTCAGGCTGCTAGTGTCATTGACACTTTGCGTTTTTCGTTGTAGATGTTATGTATATTTATTGTTATTGAATTAGTAGAAATGACACGAATTACGTTTTTGCATCCGGACCTTGGAATTGGAGGAGCTGAACGATTGGTAGTTGATGCTGCGTTAGCTTTAAAAAAAGGGGGTTATGATGTCAATTTCGTGACAACTCATCACGATCCAGAGCATTGTTTCTCTGAGACTAAAGATGGGACAATTCCTGTTACAGTTGTGGGAAGCTGGATACCCAGGCATATTTTGGGTAGATTTTTTGCACTTTTCGCTTACATCCGGATGGTGAGCCAATTTATTTTATATATTGAATACTCGATTTATTTTAACATATTAAAGACATTTTATCTTATTTTATTTGTATTAAAGATGCGATTAGCAACAAGATACAAAATTTTATTCAAGTAATGCTTTCGACACCGATCCATCTTGTAAACAGCTTTATTTTTTTTTTTTGTATCTTTTCAGATATATGCTGCAATTTATATAATTTTATGTGAACATCAACCAAAAATTGTATTTTGTGATTTAGTCTCTGCGTGCATTCCTATTCTTCGTTTAAGAATTCAATATATAATGTATTATTGTCATTATCCAGACCAGTTACTTTCACAACCGGAAGGCATTATTAAACAATTATATCGTGTACCACTCAACTACTTGGAAGAAATTACAACAGGGATGGCACATAAAATATTTGTGAATAGTTCATATACATGTGAAGTATTTAAAGATACTTTTAAAAGATTACAAGTTGAACCTGAAGTCTTATATCCTTCCATTAACACAGAATTTTTTGACAGAACTAGAATTTTGTCTTTAGAAAGAGTATTAGATAAGAAATTACCAGCAGACAGTGTTATATTATTATCAATTAACAGATACGAGCGCAAAAAGAATTTAGGAATTGCTATGCAAGCATTGGCAGAACTAAAAAATTACTTATCTGATGAAGAATATAAAAAAGTATATTTAATTATGGCTGGTGGATATGACAAAAGAGTTGAAGAAAATGTAGAATATTATTTAGAGTTAATAGGTTTTGCTGATGAATTGCATATTAGTGATAAAGTAATATTTCTTCGTTCACCCTCGGATATTGATAAAGTATCTATTTTAAATCATTGCACGATTTTAATATACACACCACCAAATGAACATTTTGGTATTGTTCCTCTTGAAGCAATGTATACAAATAAACCAGTAATTGCTCATAATTCTGGAGGCCCAAAAGAATCTGTTGTTTCTGGAGTAACTGGATATTTAGTTGATTTATCTGGCGATGCATTTGCAACTAAAATAGCTGATTTAATTAAAAATCCAAGTGATATACAAAAATTTGGTAATGCGGGTAAAGATAGATTTAGGCAAACCTTTAGTTTCACTGCA